GCAGGGAGCCTGCTGCCCTCTCCACGCTCCTGGCAGTGGGTGCACAGTGCCAACTCTCCTGGAGTCTTCTCCACTAGAGAAAGCCACTCCCTTCTAGAAGGTTGGTTAGTTTGTGAGGACCCCGGTGTAGCTGCTGGAGGGTGGAGGCCCCTCTGTGCATGGGACTCGACAGGACAGGGGAGGGGGTGTGGGCTGGGGGAGCTGAGGGCTGTGGGCACGCCGGGAGGGCACATCCCAGGGACAGCAATGGGCTGTGGGCTGAGAACCCACCTTCCTCCCTAGGACTGGGGGGAGGGGGGACTGGGCAGCCGTGCCTTGGGAGGTCTGGGGGCAGAGGGGTCACAGGGCAGCACCACTCGGGACAGCAGGTGCAGTAAAACCTGGGGCATCCTTGGCCTGGTGCTGGTCTGGTCTCTGAGACCTCATCTGGGATGGGGCTCTCGGGTGGCCTCATTGGGGTGTGTGTCCCCCCATATTCATGCCTGTCTGGACTCTGTGAAAACAGCTTTAATTGAAAAAAGGAGCTGGGCACCGGTAGCTCACGTCTGTAATCCTAGCTCCTTAGGAGCTGAGATCAGAGGATCAAGGTTCAAAGCCAGCCTGGGCAAGAAAGTCTGTGAGACTCTTATCTCCAACAAACCAGAAGTGGTGCTGTGGCTCAAGTGGTAGAACGCCAGCCTTGAGCTGAAGAGCTGAGGGACAGCGCCCAGGCCCAGAGTTCAAGCCCCACGACCCACCCTTTCCCCCCCCCAAAAAAAGAAAAATATAGGGTCATTGCAGCTAGTACCAAGACGAGGTCCTCTTGAAATGGGGTGGCTCCTCCTCAGCCCAGCCCGGCGGTGCTGACCTGGAGGCAGGACCCCCATGGATAAGCAGGGGGCCCCCCGTCTGTGGCTCGCTCGGGGCAGTGAGTGGTCCTTTCTCACGGCTGCATGAAGATTTGGTCTTTCCGTTGTTTTTGTCGATGGAGGCTGGAGCTCAGGGCCTCACACTCACACTTCTTTGCTCAGTGCTCCTGCTCACCACTTTAGCCATGTTTCTGGGCTGGCATTTTGATGGTTAATGAGAGGTAGAATCTCATGGGCTTTTTTTGGGCCTGTCTGGATTCAAACCTTAATCTTCTGATCTTAGCTTCCTGAGTAGCTGGGATTACAGGTGTGAGCCACTGACTAAGAGTTTGTCTTCTTGAGGAGCTCAAATGTTTGGGGCAAGGGGTAGGTATTCTAGGCGGAGGGTCCCTGGGGACCCCATGCCCCCTCTCCAGGGGTGGTGGGAGGAGCTCCCACAGGGAGCCGGCATGCCTTGGGTTCTGATTGTGGCAGTCAGGATCCCCGTCCCGTGCGGCCAGCTCCAGCGAGACTGCTGACTTCAGTGGGCCGTGGAGCTGAGAGCTCCAAGCGAGGGTGGCTTCCATCCCTGGCAGAGCCAGCCAGGGCCTCCGCCCGGGTGCCCAGGCCTCAGGGGCTGGCAGCCTCCCTCAGTCTGCGTCTTCCAGCAGCAGCAGGAACCCTGGCTAGACATTTCCAGAAGAAAAGGAAGTAGGCCTCAAGTTGGTACACCTCCCCTACCTGTTTTTCTAAGTCAGAGCCATAGCCAAGGCTGCGTGCGGAGAGGAAGGCAGAGCTGGCATTCAGGGAGGCCCGGGGAGCCTGGATGTGCAGGAGTAGGCAGGGGAGTCATGATTTGAGGCTGGTCTGGACAGAAACGTGAAACTGTCTTGGGAAAACAACTAAAGCAAAATAGGGATAGGGGTGTAATGGAGTGCAGAGCACTGGCGTAGCAAGCAGGAGGCAGAGTTCAGCCCCCACCACCACCAAAAGGGAAGGAGAGCACAATATGGAAGTGGTTCAGGGCTCCTGGAAAGAGCTGCTGAAAACCATCCTGAGCTGACTTGGGAGCCCCCAGTTACAGGGAGTCGACCCCCAAGGCAGGAAGCCCCTAGGGCAGGGTGCTGACACCCCAGTGCAGAGAGCCAGCACTCCAGGACAGGGAACCCCCCAGCTGGCAAACCGACCCCCCAAGGCAGGAAGCCGATACCCAGGCCAGGCCAGTCCTTCCTGCGTCCTCCACACATGCAGTGCAGTGTGACCAGAAAGTGAGGTGTATGATCGGTATCCTGTGTGAGGCCACGCGGACTTTCCAGAACCTTAGACCCAGTGTACAACTCATTGGGTGAGCACGGGTGACTCACAGTGGCCATTGCCCCCCCCCTCCCCCCCCCCCCCCCCCCCCCCGGCAGATCCCATATGCTATGTCTTGGATTTAGCCCGAGAATTCTGAGGGTCAGAGTGAAGAGGCAGAATCCCAAGTTCATGGGACCTGTGTGTATGGACTGTGTGTGTGTGTGTGTGTGTGTGTGTGTGTGTGTGTGTGTGTGTGTGTGTGTGTATGGACTCTGTGTGTATGTGTGTGTGTGTGTGTGTATGGACACTATGTGTGTGTGTATATGGACTGTGTGTGTGTGTGTGTGTATGGACTCTGTGTGTATGTGTGTGTGTGTATGGACTCTGTGTGTGTGTGTGTGTGTATGGACACTGTGTGTGTGTGTGTATATGGACTGTGTGTGTGTGTGTGTGTATGGACTGTGTGTGTGTGTGTGTGTGTGTGTATGGACTCTGTGTGTGTGTGTGTGTGTATGGATTCTGTGTGTGTGTGTGTGTGTGTATGGACTCTGTGTGTGTATATGGACTCTGTGTGTATATATGGACTCTGTGTGTGTATATGGACTCTGTGTGTGTGTATATGGACTCTGTGTGTGTGTGTGTGTGTCTGTGTGTGTGTATGGACTCTGTGTGTGTGTGTGTGTGTGTGTGTGTGTGTGTGTGTATGGACTCTGTGTGTGTGTATATGGACTCGGTGTGTGTGTGTGTGTGTGTGTGTGTGTGTGTGTGTGTGTGTGTGTGTCATTGCTAGGATGGAGCCCAGGGCCTCATGCATTCTAGGTTTCACCTCTCCTCCCCTGCAGATTTTTTTTTAATTGCTTTTGAGCTGGGTGCTAGTGGCTCACACCTATAATCCTAGCTACTTAGGAGGCTGAGATCTGAGGATCAAGGTTTAAAGCCAGCCCAGGCAGAAAATTCCGTAAGATTTTTCTCCAATACATCGCCAAAAAGCTGGAAGCAAGGCTGTAGCTCAAGTGGTAGAATGACAACCTTGAGCAAAAAGCTAAAGGAGAGCATCTAGGCCCTGAGCTCAAGCCCCAGGACCAGCATTAAATAAATGCATTTTGTTTTTGAGATAGTCTCACTAACTTTGACCAAAGTGGCTGCAAACTCTCCTTCCTCCTGGCTCAACCTCTTGAGAAGCTGGGATTACAGGTGCATTCCACCACACCCTCACAATTATGGATCCTGAAACTCTGTCTGGGCTTTGGCCAAGTTAGGAGGTAGCCTTGTAGTGCTCCCCCTTTTGCTTAATCTCTTGTAAGGAAGTCACTGATCCTTTATAAAATACATTAGCTGCCAGTACTCTATTTCATTGTGAATATTCTTAAGTGGAAGTGTTTTACATTTGTCCAGTTCCATTAGATTCTGTTACTTTGTGGATTATTTTTCAGTCTCTTAATATAGCCGGCTTTCTCCTCTCTGGGCATTGGCGGAGTACAGTTATCTTTTGGTTGGTATCTTTGTGAATGCATTGTTCTCAGGTCCCTCTGGAATGCCACGTTCTGTATGGGACATGTTGTCATGTGGCCGGCAGTGTCTGCACTGCCCTCTCCTGGGCTTTTGCCAGCATCCAGGGCACTGCTGTGTGGAGGTCCCTTTTACCTGCGGTCCAGTGTCCAGTGTCACACTGCCTTGTGTTCCTGGTGAGCTGGCTTGGACACACTGCATGCTTCAATTGTCCCAAGGGCTCTGGGGCCCCTTCTGCTTGTTCATCTTGCCCTGGACTGTGATGCTGAGAGGAGCTGGGAGGAGCCGGGAGGAGCCCAGAGGAACCGAGAGGAGCGTGGCACCTGGGTGCTGTGGGTGTGAAGGTCGCTGGGCTCCTCAGTGTGTGATGGCAGGAAGCTCTTCCTGCCTGGCCCCACCTGGCGCTGCATGGGGCCCCCTGCCCCACTGCCCCCATGTCTTCACTCCAGTGGCTTTTTGGGCCTAGCCCCAGGTGAGGACCTCTGTATTTGTCTCCTCAGACTCCAGATACTTGTCAGGCATCCCTGAGCAAAAACTTGCTCAGAAAGGCAGTAAGCGGCAGATTGCTGGAGCTGTGGGCCTCTGCTAGGCACTGAAGGCCCTCTCTGCTGGCCACGTCCTGCTGTGGGCCCGGAAGTGAGGCCACCCGGAAGAATGGCCAGGCCCCTGCTCCCTTGACATTCAGGGGTTTGTTAGGGGCTTTGCTGCGGGGAGTGGACACCCTGGGAACATCCATGCTAGGTGCACGTGTGTGTGAATTTGCACCCAGTGCTCAGGGTGCTATGTGAACCTGCCCACCCTGGTTGTGTGGGTGTCAGGCTCAGAGTGGCCAGCACCCCACACTCAGGGTGGGGGCAGGAAGCAGTGGAGGAAGTGGGGTCCAAACTCCATCCCCTAGCAGCCAAGGCTTTGCTGGGCACCCTGAGGATTAGGAACAGATAGAAATGTGCACGGCATCTCTGGGGGTTGGGCAGGTGGGGAAGGGGCGGACGTGGGACCAGGTCTAACCAGGGACTCAGGCAGCAGCTATGATGCCAAGGCCTGGCCTTGGTGGCTGCAGGCAGCGCGTAGCCGGGTGCCCCCGTTCCTCGCAGTGTCTGGCATTTTGGGCGAGCGGTCAGCTTCCTTCCTGTTCCCTTCGCACCGTTCGGTGTGCCTGTGGCTGTGAGGAGCCGGCATTCTTGGGTCCTGCCGGGGTGGAGGCGGTGGGCGGAGCCTCAGCAGCTAGAAGGCTCTGTGGGCTGAGGTGCTGGGTGCCCGGGGGCCAGGCAGAGGTCTGTGGCCGGGGCGGGCGTTCCCTTTGGGCGTGGCATGGGGCCTGGACCTGGCCGGCCAGGGCAGTGACCACGCAGGCCGTCTCCCTTGCAGGGAGCCCGTCCGTCATGTCCGGGTGAGGCAGAGGAGCGCCAGGCTGACCATGCTGAGGAGGCTGGACCGGATCCGGTTCAGAGGCCACAAGCGGGAGGACTTCCTCGACCTGGCGGAGTCCCCAAATGCCTCGGACACGGAGGGCGGGGACGAGCTGCCCCTGAAGGTGCCCCGGACCTTGCCCCGGGACAGCGAGGAGCTCAGGGACCCCGTGAGTACGCTGACCCCCTTGGCACTGTCCCCAGCCTCGGTGACGGAGAGTGCATGGACGAAGGCCGGGCTGGCACAGACCTGGGGCTGGATTCCCGTCTCCTCATCTCGCTCCCCATCAACCCCACCCCTCCACCAGGCAGGGCCCGGCCCATGCCAAGCAGGCTCTGTACTGGAGCTTGTCCAGAGCCTGCGTGTTGCTGCCTTTCTCATCGGTTTCTCTGGGTTTTGGCCAGCTCCTCGGTGCAGGTGTGAGGAGGCTCGGTCTGGCCCCGGATGTCCACACGGGGTGGGGTAGGCAGGGCGTGGCTGGGAGGTCAGGGTGCACATCAGTGACCTCTGGCCCCAGCTGAGCCCTCGTCAGTGTGGCGGCCTTCATCCAAGGTCCGTTGAGTGCCTGGGCCAGGCCTGAGGCCTGGGTGCAAACCGGTGCTTCCTGGGTGTGGTGGAGTGAGGCGGGGGGGTGGGGGGGGGTGCAGCCGGAGGCAGTGGGGCGGGGCGTGCGCCTGCTGGCCCCTGCTGCCCGGACCCCCCAGCCTCACTGCCAGCTGAGGATGAACCTGGCTGTGCTTCGTATTTGGTAGCCTGTGGCTTTTCACGCCCAGGCCCTGAACCAGCTTTTGTTTGCAGATGAGGCCGGCACCACCGCCTCTAGCTCCTTGTATTATTAATGCTTCATAATAAGATGCGGACAGGGCACTGCTGCTGGCAGGAATTAATAATTCACCACGGCAGCCTCCCAAGAACCTGGCTGTGAGTCCTGCCCTGCCTGGCCTGTCTCTCGTGTTCGAGGGCTGCTCTTCCAGCTCTGGCTGTGTCCCTGGCTTGGTGTGTCCCCTGTGCCAGCACTGTCAGTGAGTGACAGCAGCTTGTCTGATGTTGGACGGCTCCACGCGTCTGTGGGCTGGTGGTCTCTGGGCTTAAGGTGCGGTGACAGGAAGCCCATCTCCCCCCCCCCCCCCCGCCCCCCCAATGCTGGTCTGAGCTCAACAGGGACCTCATGTAGAGACTGAAGCCGGGCTATGCTGCCTGTCCTCCTCCTGTGAGCCAGGGTGGGAGGCAAGCACGGCACAGGCCACTTTGCAGCCGCCCTGGTTTAGAGTCTCAGACACTAGCACGGAGGCCCGCTGTGGCTGTCTGTGGGTTGATTATACGGGCCACAGGTGCTGTCGTGAGTGGAATGTTTGTCCAGGCCCATTGCTGCCCTCCTCCTGCTGCCCTCTGACCAGCCAGGAGCCACCTGCGGGACCTGCTGTCTGTAGTTGCCATGTGATTCTGCTCACCCTGGACAGGATGGGCGGGGGTGGGGTGGGGTGGGGAGCGGGGGCTGCCAGAGGCGCCGAGGTTCTGAGGAGAACAGAGGTATCACCAATGCAGGGGAGACCCATGGCGGGGGCGGGGCCCTGGTGGATGGAGAGGTGTGGCAGCGGTGGCCTGAGTGGGAGCTATGTTGAGATCACACCTTCCACACGCCACACTCTGCCAGCCACATCTCAATCACACCTTCCACATGCCACGCTCTGCCAGCCACATCTCAATCACACCTTCCACAAGCCACGCTCTGCCAGCCACATCTCAATCACACCTCGCCCTGTGCCACGCTCTGCCAGCCACATCTCAATCACACCTCGCCCTGTGCCACGCTCTGCCAGCCACATCTCAATCACACCTCGCCCTGTGCCACGCTCTGCCAGCCACATCTGAATCACACCTTCCACATGCCACGCTCTGCCAGCCACATCTCAATCACACCTCGCCCTGTGCCATGCTCTGCCAGCCACATCTGAATCACACTTCGCCCTGTGCCACGCTCTGCCAGCCACATCTGAATCACACCTCGCCCTGTGCCACGCTCTGCCAGCCACATCTCAATCACACCTTCCACATGCCACGCTCTGCCAGCCACATCTCAATCACACCTCGCCCTGTGCCATACTCTGCCAGCCACATCTGAATCACACCTTGCCCTGTGCCACGCTCTGCCAGCCACATCTGAGTCACACCTTCCACATGCCACGCTCTGCCAGCCACATCTCAATCACACCTCGCCCTGTGCCACGCTCTGCCAGCCACATCTCAATCACACCTTCCACATGGCACGCTCTGCCAGCCACATCTCAATCACACCTCGCCCTGTGCCACGCTCTGCCAGCCACATCTCAATCACACCTCGCCCTGTGCCACGCTCTGCCAGCCACATCTCAATCACACCTCGCCCTGTGCCACGCTCTGCCAGCCACATCTCAATCACACCTCGCCCTGTGCCACGCTCTGCCAGCCACATCTGAATCACACCTTCCCTGTGCCACGCTCTGCCAGCCACATCTCAATCACACCTTCCCTGTGCCACGCTCTGCCAGCCACATCTCAATCACACTTCGCCCTGTGCCACGCTCTGCCAGCCACATCTCAATCACACCTCGCCCTGTGCCATACTCTGCCAGCCACATCTCAATCACACCTCGCCCTGTGCCATACTCTGCCAGCCACATCTGAATCACACCTTGCCCTGTGCCACGCTCTGCCAGCCACATCTGAGTCACACCTTCCACATGCCACGCTCTGCCAGCCACATCTCAATCACACCTTCCACATGCCACGCTCTGCCAGCCACATCTCAATCACACCTTCCACATGGCACGCTCTGCCAGCCACATCTCAATCACACCTCGCCCTGTGCCACGCTCTGCCAGCCACATCTCAATCACACCTTCCACATGCCACGCTCTGCCAGCCACATCTCAATCACACCTTCCACATGCCACGCTCTGCCAGCCACATCTCAATCACACCTCGCCCTGTGCCACGCTCTGCCAGCCACATCTCAATCACACCTTCCACATGCCACACTCTGCCAGCCACATCTCAATCACACCTCGCCCTGTGCCACGCTCTGCCAGCCACATCTCAATCACACCTCGCCCTGTGCCACGCTCTGCCAGCCACATCTGAATCACACCTTCCCTGTGCCACGCTCTGCCAGCCACATCTCAATCACACCTTCCACATGCCACGCTCTGCCAGCCACATCTCAATCACACCTCGCCCTGTGCCACGCTCTGCCAGCCACATCTCAATCACACCTCGCCCTGTGCCACGCTCTGCCAGCCACATCTCAATCACACCTCGCCCTGTCCCACGCTCTGCCAGCCACATCTCAATCACACCTCGCCCTGTGCCACGCTCTGCCAGCCACATCTCAATCACACCTCACCCTGTCCCACGCTCTGTCAGCCACATCTGAGTCACACCTCGCCCTGTGCCACGCTCTGCCAGCCACATCTCAATCACACCTTCCACATGCCACGCTCTGCCAGCCACATCTCAATCACACCTTCCACATGCCACGCTCTGCCAGCCACATCTCAATCACACCTCACCCTGTGCCACACTCTGCCAGCCACATCTGAATCACACCCTCCCTGAGGGAGTATTGTCTGGGACTCGCAGTAAGTGCAGGGGTTGGAGCTTAGGAGCTTCTGTTCTGGTTCCCCCCTCCCCCCGCCGTATCCTCCGATCTTGTGCTATCAGGGTCAGTACAGGAAGAGGGCCTGTCCCCAGAATGTTCCACGGCCCCTAGGGAGTGCTGAGTGAGTTGGAGCCAGGGAAGAAGGGAAGAAGGGGACAGGCCAGGGGTGGAGAGGCAGGGGAGGTGAGGATGAAGGACTCTGGGGTCTTGACTGGGGGCAAAGCATCTGGATTTGGGGCCACCGGTAGCCCTTGCTGGGGGCGGCCATCTGGGCAGTGTGAGGGAGGGGCAGGCAAAGGGAGAGAGAGAGTGAGGAGCCATGGCGGGGACACACGGGTGAGGATGGAGGGGTCCCGGGAGGGGGGTCTGAACGCCTCTGCTGCGTGGGGCTGTGGCCGAGGGCAGGGCCAGATGCCAAAGAGACTGCAGCAAGGTCAGACTGGGACCTGCACTCCTGCCCCCAGGGCCCGGAGCCTGTGGGAAAACTGCCACCGTGGGAGACGCCTGGGCGCAGGGCACCACGGGGTCCAACTGGGGATGAGGGGTGCCCAGTCACTGCCGACAGAGGGGCCAGCTGGGGGTGCGGGGTGCCCAGTCACTGCCGACAGAGGGGCCAGCTGGGGGTGCGGGGTGCCCAGTCACTGCCGACAGAGGGGCCAGCTGGGGGTGCGGGGTGCCCAGTCACTGCCGACAGAGGGGCCAGCTGGGGGTGCGGGGTGCCCAGTCACTGCCGACAGAGGGGCCAGCTGGGGGTGCGGGGTGCCCAGTCACTGCCGACAGAGGGGCCAGCTGGGGGTGCGGGGTGCCCAGTCACTGCCGACAGAGGGGCCAGCTGGGGGTGCGGGGTGCCCAGTCACTGCCGACAGAGGGGCCAGCTGGGGGTGCGGGGTGCCCAGTCACTGCCGACAGAGGGGCCAGCTGGGGGTGCGGGGTACCCAGTCACTGCCGACAGAGGGGCCAGCTGGGGATGAGGGGTGCCCAGTCACTGCCGACAGAGGGGCCAGCTGGGGATGAGGGGTGCCAGCTGGGGGTGCGGGGTACCAGCTGGGGATGAGGGGTACCAGCTGAGGATGAGGGGTGCCAGCTGGGGATGAGGGGTACCAGCTGGGGATGAGGGGTGCCAGCTGGGGATGAGCGGTGCCAGCTGGGGATGAGGGGTGCCAGCTGGGGGTGCGGGGTACCAGCTGGGGATGAGGGGTACCAGCTGAGGATGAGGGGTGCCAGCTGGGGATGAGGGGTGCCAGCTGGGGATGAGGGGTACCAGCTGGGGATGAGGGGTACCAGCTGGGGATGAGGGGTGCCAGCTGGGGATGAGGGGTGCCAGCTGGGGGTGCGGGGTACCAGCTGGGGATGAGGGGTGCCAGCTGGGGCTGCGGGGTACCAGCTGGGGATGAGGGGTACCAGCTGAGGATGAGGGGTGCCAGCTGGGGATGAGGGGTGCCAGCTGGGGATGAGGGGTACCCTGTCACTGCCAACAGGGGCCGGCTGGGGCCAGCTGTTGGACTTGCCTGACCCTTTGTCTTAAAGGGGACAGCAGTAGTGTCTGCCTTCTAGGCCTTTTGCACACTAAACACAGAAATACACAGAGGTCCTGGGCCTGCGCCCGGCCTGTTTGCACACAGGCATCTGGGGTTGATTACTGATGACGGCGGTTCAGAGCCCTTCCCCATCCAGGCCCCTTTGCAAGCCCGTGACCTTGCCCTGGGGTCATGCGCCTGAGACTACAGGGGTGCCTGCACACCGGAGGGTCTGCTGCCCTGGTCTGCCCTCCAGCCCTTCCTCGGAGGCGGCAGGGCTCCCTCCGCTGCTGTGTGTGGGATTAAACCATCTCTAGTGCATCCCTGCCCTGCAGACCTTGCCCCAGTGAGACCGTCACCTTACGATGCCCGTGGGCCCTGTCCGTCAGTCCCACCGGCCGCTGCCCCACCAGGACCCCGCCACCAGCCTGCTGTCTTTGGAATTCTATTCTAGACATTTCCTGAAGGAGGCACCATGAAGAACCCACCACTGGCAGCCGGCTTCCCGCACCGGCCCTCGGGTTCTCCCAGGCTGCAGGCTCCGCAGGTCTGCTTCACAGCCGGATATGCCCGTGGTCTATGTGGACCACAGTTGTTTATCCACGTGGCTGACCAGGCACGTCCAGTTGTTTCCACTCTGGGGCTCTGACATGTAATGCTGAGCAGCTGTGTGCGTGTTTTCTCTTGAGCATCTGTTTTCACATGGGGGCTGGGTCACGTGGAGCCCCTCGCTTCCCCGCTGGGTCTCCCTACTGAGTTCCCAGGCTCCGGCGCCCCCTCCCGCAGCCGGCCTGCGGTTCCCTGGGATGGCTGGCGGGCTGGAGGTCTTCTCTGAGCTGGGCCGAGCTGCTCACTCTAAAGGACTCAGGCTTGGGTGGGATGTAGCTCAGCGGCAACGCGCTTGCCCAGCAAGTGCAACGTCCTAAGGGTTCGATCTCCTGTACCAAAAAGGGAAAGACAAAAACAATACAGTTATGAGACTCAGACTCCCTCCACTCAACAGACACCTCAGGGAGGGCACCGTGTGAGCCTCCAGCATCGCCTGGACTGCGTCTCGGGCCACCTAGCCATGTTACCCTCCCCTGGGAGTGGCATGATGTCACACCATCCATTGCCAGAACTTTCTCATTGCTCTAACTGTAAGCCTTTACTCACTAAGTACCACTCCCAGCCTCCCACCCCAGCCCTGGGCAACCCCTGTTCTGAGTTCTGCCTCTGAGATTCTGACTGGGGAGTAGCCCCCCGCAGCCCCTGTCCCTGGCTCACTGTCAGCCCCAGCCGGCAGGTAGGCACGTCTCGTGTCCTTCCTAGGAGATCTGTTTGTGACTTACGACAAAGAGGTTGAGGGTAGAGTACAGACCACCCCATTGCAAAGGTCAGGGAGGGTGGGCAGGGTGGGGGGGTGTCTGGGGAGAGCCACGGAGCCCTGTGTGGAGGAGGATGGCAGTCCGGGGTGACACGCGGAGGGATGGCAGTGTCAGGGGTGGCACAGAGGGGACGTAATGACAGAAGAGGTGGGGGCTGTCCCTGTGGCCAGTGCCAGGCCGACAAAGAGAGGTGGCAAGCCAGAAGTGGACGGGAGAGCCTGAGGGCTGGGGCAGCTCCGCAGCGGCTACACACAAGGAAGCGGTGTCGGCATCCCACGAGCAGCTGGAAGACTCCTGCGCCCTCCCCTCTGCCAGCGCTGCGGGCTCAGGGCAGGAAATAGTTCTGGAAAAGCTGGAGAAAGAAAGAAATGGCCGGCGACCCCAGCCACAGGCCTGGGTGCCGGCCCCTGTCCCAGCCCAGGCTCACTCCTGAGTCTGAGGAGGGGCATTGGGGAGACTCGGGTCATACCCACAGGGGGGTTTGACCCCCAGGGTCTCAGAGCCGTGCCCTGACCGCTGGACGGGTTTGCCAGAGCCATCCGCACTGCCCCTGGTGTCCAGGCGCTGCCAGGGGAGCTGTGGCCCCTTCTGGTGTCCTCAGCGAGGTGGCGGCCCCAAGGTGTCTACACTGCTGCAGGGCACTACGTGGTGCGGGGACGGGACACGGTTCCTGCCCCGGAAGTCTCCTGGCCAGGCCTCCGCTGCACATGCGCACTCCTGGGCCGCCCACTGCAGGGTGTCTTGGCAGGTCCCATCACAGGGCAGGTGGGAGGCGGGCAAGGGGAGAGCTCAGAGCCTGGCGCTGGTCTGCGGCGTTGGTCACGCGGCACAGAGCCGCCCCTGCTGTGCAGGTGACACCAAGTTTGTGTTTGAGGTTCATTTTTTTCATTCCTCTTTGGTTCCAAACATCCATCATACCGGAACGAGGCATGAGCCTCCAGTCCCTCACATGTGGCCTGCTCCACCTTTGGGCCTCTCCTGGCCTCTCCCCTGCCGGCCTCCCCCTGGATCGTTCTGGATGATTCTTTTTTTTTTTTTTTTTTGGTCCGGTCGTGGGGCCTGAACTCTGGGCCTGGGTGCTGTCCCTCAGCTCTTCAGCTCAAGGCTAGCGCTCTACCACTTGAGCCACAGCACCACTGCCGGCTTTTTCCTTTTTGCTTATGTGGTGCTGAGGAATCGAACCCAGGACCTCATGCATGCAAGGCAAGCGCTCTACCACCGAGCCACCTTCCCAGCCCATTCTGGATGATTCTAATGCTAGGTACTCACTCATCCATCTGTCTTTAACACGTTAGGGGTTGGTCTGAAAGATGAGGGCTGAGACTGACAGCCACAGTGTTGGGGTCTGGATGCCGGGTTTCCCCACGACCGTGTGTGTGTGTGTGTGTGTGTGTGTGTGTGTGTGTGTGTGTACATTGCACACAGACCACTGCCTGCTTAGGTTTCTGAGGACTGTTTTCTCCAGGCTCTGTGAGCTTGTCTGAGGCTGGCTGGACAGATGTGCAGACTCTGGCATCTGCCCTGTGGTTGTGAGCAGAGGCTCCTGATAGCAAGCTCTCTGCGAGTCTGCCAATCTGGTGGCCTAGAGCAAGGCCAGGGCCCTCCTCTGTGCTGGCTGGCTCCTGGTGGGTGCTGTGGTGCGCACTGCTGCCAGCCCATGGGCAGAGCAGGAGTCCCCTGTGTGGGCCTTGTCTGTCAGTGGGGGGGGGTGGTGTGTAGAGAGTGCCTGAGAGGCACCTATGGGCCCCGCCCCAGTCTCCATGTGCTGCTGCACCAAGTCTCCTCCCCCATCCCCCCGAACGGTGCCCCCCACCCCAGTCTCCATGTGCTCCCACACCAAGTCCCCTCCCCCAATGGTGCCCCCCCACCCCAGTCTCCATGTGCTACCGCACCAAGTTCCCTCCCTCCCAACGGTGCTCCCTCACCCCAGTCTCCATGTGCTACCGCACCAAGTCCCCTCCCCTGCCCCCCCAATGGTGCCCTGGTAACCGGAGCAGCTGAAGGAGAGGCTGGGTGCCCGGGGAGGAGAGCTGCAGGCCAGAGGCCTTGCCCTCAGCCCCCTCTTCCCAGGCTGCAGCCTCTGGGAAAGGGAGCACCACAGTGCTGCCCCTGGCTGACCTGTCCACGTGTGCTTCTGTGCCTAGCCTGAGCGCAGAGCTGGCACCCAGCTGGGCGACGTCGGGCCCACTGCCGCTGGCAGGGCCTTTGTGAGCCATTTCTCACGGGGTCAGCTGCAGGAGGGTGAAGGGGTTAGCACCCACCTGCCTGCCTGCACACATGCACGCACATATGCACCAGACACCCCCACACGCGTACACTCAGGCACGCATTACACACTAGCACACACAGCCAGGCAGGCCTGCCTCACGCCTTTCCCACCATCACCAGCGCTGGACAGTGGCCACTGGCACAGGACAGCCCCAAGGGGGGGACGAGGAGACCTGGGTTTACAGGACAGCCCCAAGGGGTGGACGAGGAGACCTGGGTTTAGAGGACAGCCCCAAGGGGCGGACGGGGAGACCTGGGTTTGGAGTCGGCTCAGCCCGGCTCCCTGCAGGCCTGGGTCCTCTGCTCTTCTCCTTTCTGACCTCGCAGAGTGGTGCGGGCTCCTGTGCGGGCCCCGCTGCCGTTGTGAGGTGACCGCCGCTCTGGCTGGGCTGCTCTGGGGACACCGGCCGCGGCTTCTCTCTGCAGCAAGAACCACAAGGCATCATCAGAGGCTCAGAGCAGACTCCCGAGTTGTCCTTTTGTGTCCTTTCTCCACGTTGACCTTGCGGTGGCCTCCGAGGGTGTCCACATGGTCTGAGAGCCGGGGCGGCCAGTGCCAGCCTCACTGCGGGGCTTGTGTTCCCCTGGTCCCATGGGTCAGGCCGGTGTGGATGGGGGTCCTGTGGCCGTTGTGCTGACCTGTGTCCCAGGCACTGAGGCTGCTGTCCCTTTCAGAGCTGTAGCTGTAGCAGTCTCATGACCTGAGCCGTGTGGAACTCTCCGGTGTGGACCCGGGCGCTTCTGCTCAGCGCCCTCTGAGCTCATGGTGTTTGTCTTCCAGGCTGGCCCAGGGACCCTCATCATGGCCACAGGGGTCCAGGACTTTAACAGGACAGAGTTTGATCGGCTGAACGAGATCAAGGGTCACCTGGAAATTGCCTTACTGGAAAAACACTTCCTTCGTGAGTATCAGAAGTGCTTACGGGGGCAGGCGCCCTGGGGTGGGGGTTGGGCCAGGCTGCGGCTCCTCTCCATGCCAGCAGCTCCCCTGGCTTCTGTGCACTCCGAGCTCTGCCACTGGGTTCATGCGTGAGGGCAGGCGTGGGCCTGCGGCGATCTTTGGAGTTAGCAGTACCCACATGGCCCTTGGCACCACGAAGTTCAGCGCCGGCCTGGGATTGACAGGTGACGTTAGGCAGAGTCTCAGGACAAAGAATGAAATGTCCTTGAGAATTCGGAGTATCTTGGTGAATCCGACACAGTTTCCCTGGTTAATTCAGGATTTGGGGAGCTCTGTGAAGGAATCCGGAGTTCTGTGCTCTGTTTATTTCCACGACAAGGAGAGCAGAGGTACTGGGGTCTCCATCCTCCAAGATTGGGTGTTCCCACCTGCTGGCTCTCCCTGGTGCTCTGGTCTCTGGGGCTGTGAGCAGAGAGGGCTCCTGAAGACCCCACGGGCTCCGCCTGCGGCCATCTCACTCTTCATCCCTCCTCCTCCTCAGCCCCAGAGGCTCCTCGACTTACAGGTGGGGAAACTGAGGCATAGAATAGAGCTAACTAAGGTCGCCCCACTGTGGGTGAAGCCTTCTGGCCAGTGAGGGTTTAAGCAGTCTGACTGCCCCGAAGCCAGTGCGTGTGACGCTGTGGGACACCGCGCCATCTCCGCTGCTGTGGTAGAGATGGTGTGTGATGAGGAAGAAAGTACAGGAGGACGCAGCGTCTGTCACGGGCCTGGATTTGGTTGCTGTGAACTGCCCAGAGCAAAGCCCTGGGGTTGGGGCCACCGCAGGGGGATCTGTGGGAGGGCGAGGGCCATTCTCTCAGGAACGGGCCAAGGTGCAGACGGAGCCTGCTGTATCCCTGAGGCAGGGTGATGCGGGGCGGGGAGAAGGACCAGAACTCCTCTGGGGCCAGCAGCTCCCTGGGGACCATTGTGCAGGGGGCACCCGGCCATGGGACTCACGGGTCTGTCCTCAGCGCTGCCTCTAACGTGGGGGGGTGTAGGGTTCATTGTGACGCCTGTGGGGCCTGTTACAGGTGGGACTGTGTGCTTTCTGTGCTACTGGGGTTTGGTTTCAGGGATTTACGCTTGATAGGCACGTGCTCTAGACCTCTCGCCTTGTTTTTCAGAAAGGATTTTATACTTTTTCCTGGGGAACCTGGACTGCCATCCTCGGACCTGTAGTCCCCAGCTAGCTGGGATCCGCGGCATATGCCACCATACCCAGCTTACTGATAGGGGACCTTTTGGCCTGGGCTGGCCTAAAACCGTGATCTTCCCAGCCTCTGTCTCCAAAGTAGCTGGGGGCTGCATGGGTGATTAGCCATGCGCAGTCCAGGGAGTACTTGGTAATTCTGGAAAATTTCGAGTGTTCATAGAAATACAGCTCTTGCTGATGGCCACAGTAGCTATTGGTTCTGGGCCAGGCTGGCTCCTCCCCACTCCCTCCCAGGGTATTCTGGACAAATCCCAGCAGCACCCTATCAGTTCATCTGTAAATATTTTATGAGGTAGCTCGTGATGTTGTAAAGACAGAAGCCACGTGTCCAGGATGCCAAGTGAAATGAAAAATGGCTTTTCTTTGATTTTGTCAGATACGGGACTTGAGCTCGAATTTCCTGGTAGTCTTTTCGTTTCTTGGCAACTGTCTGTGAATTGACACCGGGCGAGGCTGGGAGTGGCCTCTGTGTGTCTCTTGGTCTTGGCCTCGTCACTTCTGTGACTAGTGACTGGGCCACCTGTTGACAGAGTCCCTGTGCAGTCAGCATGCCTTTAGTCCGTCTGTAGACACAGAATTTAATCAGTGTTGGGAGGGCATCTGCTTGTGGGCGTGGCGTGGGTGTGGTGTGGGTGTGGGCAGTTTGCAAGGTCACAGCCTCGCTGGTTATTATGAGAGCTGTCTCCCAGCAGCCTTTGGAGTGTGGTCAATTTCTGCTTCCTCCGTTCACGCTCCATTGACTGAAACCCCTGTATTTCTGAAAACAAACTCCCCTTGCCGGTTGTGTAGCTACCAGTGCCTGTGGGGGTCCGGGACACACCCTTGCTGCCCCCCTGTATTTTCCAGCTCGTAATAATGAGTGGAGCAGTGAGGGTGATGTGCGTCTGTGGGAGTTGTAATGTCACCCTCCGGTCATGAGTTTAGTCATGTGGTTAGTATTTGCTGGGTTCGCATCGTTCTGGCTGTGGGCTGTGGGAGACACGGGCTTGGTTTCTGAGTCTTTTCCAGTGTGACAGAATATTCAGCTTTGTTGCAAACCTATCCCATCCCAGTCCTGAAAGGAGACGTTTATGACAGCCCTGGTTCCTTGTGCTGGAAAGCGGTGGAGAGCAGCCGCAGCCTCCAGGACACTGCCTGCACCGGCTGGGCATCGCATCCCGAGCCTGCCAGGGCCTGCCCCCGTGCAAGGCCTCAGAGCTGACGGGAACGCCCATCCGGGACTCTGGTATTACTTCTGACCTCACTGGACCGTTCTCCCGGTTCCCAGGGGACACCAGCCCAGCCTGTTGGTTTCTGTTGTCATGAAAACACATGTAAATCTCAGACACAAGGAGAGACCACCACCAAGTATCAGATGACTAAGAGCACTTGGGTTTGTGTTTAGTTCCTTTCAGAACCCTTGGGGTGTCCCACTGGAGAGGTGTGCGCTGCTGGATTTGCACATTCCCCTCAGGAGCTCTTCCCCCTTCATTTAGATGCTTAGAGATTGCCTTTGTTTTCTTTTAACTTTTTATGTGACCCAACTTTAGACTCAAAGGAAAGTTACAAAGGTAGCATCAAAACTCCCATATATATATTTCTTATCTAGTTAATCCTCCAGGGTTAATATTGTATCATCTGTCTGTCTTCTCTTTACCAGGCCATCCTTTCCCCCATTCATCCACACATCTGTCCATCTACCTACCTACACACACACACACACACACACACACACACACACACACACACACACACACACACACACACACATCCTCACACATATACTATTATTTATCTGAGCCCCATCCATCCATTCCTTCACCCATACAATCTATCCATCTATATTATTTTTCCTGGGCTTCCTGATGCTCAGGTGCAGACACCACACCCCTGGGTTGTAAACACTCTGCTGTGATTCCTGGCAACAAGGGCAGCACACCAGGAAGGTCAGTAAATTAACATTGGTTCTGCTCTGATTTCCAGTGTAAGATTTTCTTCCATGTTCATTGTTGTTCCGTGGGAGTCTGTACAGCAAAGGCAAGTCTGGGTCATGGCTGTGTCCCGTCTCATCTCCTTGGAACAGACGCTCACTCTTTCTGTGCTTCCTGATCTTGGTGTTTTGGAAGAGCAGAAGTCTGCTCTCTGGTGGCCTCAGTTTGTGTGGGCCCTGCTGTCCTGTGCGGAGACTTTAGTCCTGAGCTTCAGTGATGTTGGTTGTGGTGTCTTTAGCACATCCAAAGTGCATGATGTTATCTCGTTATGCACAGGGTCAGAAGTTCTTTTTAATTTAATTCTCAGGCTATATGAAGTTGTTTATAGTAGGACAGTTCTATAGTCCTAGCCCTGGAGAGGCTGAGGCAGGAAGATCGCCTGAGCTCACCAGTTCGACCCCAGCCTCGTAACAAAGGGAGACCATGTCTCAAAAATAACAAAGACACCTCGTTTTGAAATCAGAATATATGTAGAGAACACGTGTTTTTCTTTGTGCACTCCCATACTGCCTTCCTCCTCTACACTAATTTCATCCACTGATTTTTTTGTCCAGTACTAGGGCCTTGTCCTTGCTAGGCAGGCGCTCTGCTGCTGAGCCAAACCCCCAGCCTTTTTTGCCGATACTTTTAAAGGTAGGTATGCACTTGGACTGGGATCTGCCTGTGTTCGATTTTTGTTAGAGCTGGAGCCACAAGGGAGCACTACCACACCCCGCTTCCCTCCACAGAAGTGGGGTCTCGTGGACTCTTTGGTCTGGGCTGGCCAGGGACCACAGGCCTCGCAGTCTCAGCCTCCCGCGTAGCTCAGGATGGTACGTGTGTGCCCGGCACTAAGCAATGGGTAACCTTTATGTTGGGCTGTTCTTGAACTTCGATCCTCCCATCCTCAGCTTCCCAAGTAGCTAGGATTACAGGTGCAAGTCACTGGTGCCCAACCCCATCACTGGACATTCTTTTTCAATAGAAGCAAACGTATGTGTCTGTTCTTGCCTTCTAGCACACTGACACTTGCACTGTGTGTGTCCTGGTAGCCAGTCTAACGTGGTACTAAGACACAGGTCCTGGTCTGTTTTGTAGCTGCACCTGTGGTGGGGCTGTGCATAGGTTAGCCTACCTGCTCCCAGTTGATGGACGATTATTCTGCCATCAGCTCTGGTTGTTGATGGGACCCTGAGGATGTGAGCGGGACTTATTTTTGTACCCTGAGCCCAGTGACAGTTGATTGCAGAAAGGCCTGAGGCGGAAGGTACACACTGCGGAGCCTGCAGACTGCCATTGTTTTCATAGAGGAGAGGAAATAGAGCAGGTATATGCCGGCTCCTCCAGTTATCAAATATTGAAAAGTACAAATGTTCCTGCGAGAAAATGACACGGGATGAGGGGGTGAAGGTGACATGTAGCCCGGCGCTGGCTGAATTGGTTAAAGAAGTGCATGAATAAATCAAAACCACCATCCATTTTCAGTGAGCCTGGGGTGTACTTCAGTGGCTTATTTCTTTCTGAGCAAAATGCATTGTATTCCGTGGTTTCTGTACACAATATCCATGTACTGCTCACCTTTGGTGTATGGGCCCTGGGAACCATGATCTCTAATGTTGTAAGACATGCACCCCCACATCCACCCAAAACTGACTTGGAGGGAGCTGGATTTTGGAGGAGAAGTTCTTCTGAGGCGGTCTGGGTCTGGGAGCCTCGCGATCGCTGTGCCGTGCTGTGGACTTCCTTATGGGTGGAAGGTGCTGCTCTTGCTGATGTGAAGCCTCTGCTGGTGAG